CTGCAGTCCTCACCAAAAACTTTGTTCTGGAGAGCTCCTGGGATTAGGAGTGGTGGAACGCACATATTTAAAAGACAACTAGTGGTGGAGGTCGTGGTTAGCCACACTGGGAAAGTATCTTGCAGGAAATCCTTTAGCTGCCCCATCTGCTAAATTTCGGAGCTGGTGAGTGAATGGCTGGAGCTGTCACGCTGGTCCTGGGACAAAAGGTGCACCCTGCTTCCAGATGGCCCTGTATACAGGGCTGGTCCTGTATATGGATCTTGTGGCCAAAAGGAATCCACACCTGGCCCTCTAAGCAATTGGAAGAGGTGCCGGGATGGTCAGGGGACCCGTCCCAGAGGAAACAAAACTGGGGGATTCTGAAAGAGCTGCCTTGTGCAAGGATCAAAGGTTAAGCTTAAAAGGCGCTACAGTCTGGATGTTCATGTCCTCTCAAATGAATGGGTTGAAATCCTAACTCCAAAGGAGTGGGTTTCAGGAGATGGGGTGTTTGGGAGATTAGGCCCGGAGGATGTTCTGGTGAACAGAGTTAGTGCACTGATTGACACCTTCCACCGAGAAGCGGCAGTGAAAGGACTGCTGTCTACCAACCAGACAGCAAGTCAGCTGGCACCTTGGTCTTGAGCATCACTGTGAGAAATAAATTTCTGTTGCTTATGATCTAGTAAGTTTATGATATTTCCTTATAGCACCCCAAAGAGACTAAGAAAAAGGAGAGGGAACTGAGACATTACAGGAAAGTGTGTCTATTTGTTCTTCCAAAATAGGGAAAGGGAAAGGAATCTGTAAGCATAATACCTAAAGGAAAAGAGGTAACAACTCATCAGTTGGCTACATAGAAGCTGATATAGAGCTTTTACAGGAAAAAGCACCAGAACTTAACGAAAGTGAAAAACAAGTGAAGGAGAAATGTTACACCATAAGTAACCTAGGTTTGATGGTTTGTATGCATGTGGTTTTTACACATGTACAGAAAAGCTGAGTACTCAGGGCTAAGTAGTAGTTGCACTGAAGTGCAAGCCCTGAAGTGCCAGTGAGCCTCATCTTTCACTTATCACACTTATCACACTGGTAAAGACTTCAAAAGATAAACCTGAAGCTGAAGAGAATTCATGGAACCAAGTATCACACACTTGGTAGAAGTGGCAGTATTACAACTTCAGTTTTTCCAGGGCTTAGCAAATGACTCCAGTGTGAATATGTTTTACCGTAACAATCTCAGTTGTGGAGACTTATTAGGGAAATAATTAGGGAAGTTTTTAAATATTTAATGGCAGAGCTATTTATACTTTATAAAGTTTTAAAGAACCTAAATGTTCAATAACAAGAACTGGTAAAGTAAATTATTGTATATTCACATCGTGATACATTAAATGGCCATTAAAAAATAATAGGAGCATATTTTTTGACCCAGAAAAATGTTTATAATATTTTAACAATAAAGAAAAGCTATACAATAATATATGTGCAAAAATCAATTAATATTGCCAAACACTAGCAATGAAAATACAAAGATAAGAAATCTAAATATTCCATTTACAATAGAATAAAAAAAGAATAAAATTCTTAGGAGTAAATTTAATAAAAGAAGTGCTATATTTGTAGGATAAAAACTAGACATCTTTCAAAGACGTTTAAAAAGAGCTAAACACAGATGTTCCTTGATTTATAATGGGATTACATTCTGATAAACATCATAAATTGAAAATATCGTAAGTGAAAAGTGCACTGAATAGCTCTGACCTACTGACCAGCATAGCTGTGTGGTGCGGTGCACTGCAGTGGTGCTTGCTTACCTTTGTGATCATGTGGCTACCCCAAAGATCTGGCTTACTGTCGCTGCCACTGCCCAGCATCAGTGGAGAATGCTGTACTGCATACTGCTAGCCCAGGCAAAGTTGTTTTTTTTTGGCCTGGGAATCGAACTCAGGGCCTTGCCCTTGCCAGGCAGGCACTTATGCCACTGAGCTATGTCCCCGGCCTGGCCAAGATATTTTTAATCAAATATTCCAAGTACAATTTCTTCTGAATTTGTGTCACTTTCATACTGTTGACATATTGAAAAACTATAAGTCAAACCATTCTGAGGAGCGAACCACTTGTAAATGGAAAAACATCCCATGTTCATGGACTGGAAGAGACTATTGTTAAAATGCAATGTTCTCCAAAGCAATCTGCAATATCAACACAGTCCCTATCAAAATCCCAGGTTTTTATTTTGTTTTCATAAATTGACAAACAGACCCTAAAATTCATGAGGAAAGCCAGTGGACCCAGAATGGCTAAAATAATCCTGAAAAAGAAGAAGAAAGTCAGAGGACTCACATTTCTCATTTCAAAACTTGGTACAAAGCTACAATATTTAAGACAGTGTAGTACTGGCCTAAGGCTAAATGTATACAGTTCAATGGAATGTAATTGAACCTCCAGAAATAAACTCTGACATTTATGATCCCTTCATTTTCAACAGGATGCCAAAATCATCCAATGAAGAAAGAATCTTTTTGATAGATGGTGCTGGGGACAACTGAATACCCATATGCAAAGAATCAAGTTGGATCCTTACCTCATACCATATACATAAATTCACTGAGACAAATCAAATACCTAGACATGGAGCTAAAACTGTAAGATTCTTAGAACAACATAGGAGTATGACTTTGGCCTGACAATGTCCTCTGAGATATAAAACCACAAGCCACAACAACAACAAAATTGAACCTCATGAAACTTTACACTTTGTACTTCAAAGGGCACTCACAAAGAGTGAGAGAACCCCAAGAGTGAGAGAAAATATGTGCAATCATCTGTCTGGTGAAAAAACAATTAAATGATGGACAAAGTATCTGAATAGCCTTTTCTTTTAAAAAAATGTTAAACAAAAACACATAAAAAGATACTCAACATCATTAGACATAAGGGAAATACAAATCAAAACCACAGTGAGCTACTACTTACAACAACTAGGATGACCATAATTAAAAAGATAGTAAAGTATAATAAAAAAGAAGTATTTATGAGGATAAGGAAAATTAGAATTCTCACACATTGCTAGTGGGAATGTAAAATAGTGAAGACACTTTGGCAGTCCCTAAAACAATTAAGCCCAGTAATCCAATCTTAAGTATTTACTCCAGAGAACTAAAAACATATGTTCACCCAAAACCTTGTACACAAATGTTCATAACAATTTTATTCTGAACAGTCAAAAGAATGAACATAACCCAATGTTCACCTACTAACAAATGAATAAACAAAATGTGGTGCATCCGTACCATGGAATATCAGTCACCTATTAAAAAATGAAGAACTGATACGTGGTACAAGATGGATTATACTAGGTTTAAAGGAGAAAAAATCAGACACAAAGGCCACCTACTGTATAGGAAATGACTATTAGTTGACATAGGGTTTCTCTTTAGAGTGGTGAAAATGTTCTGGGATTAGACAGTGTCAATGCCTGTACAACTCTATGAGCCAATTGTCTGACACTAAATCATGCACTCTAAGAATATTTGGTATGTGTGTTATAGCTTTATAAAACTGCTACTGAAATTTTTGTAGATTGAAATATATATTAAATACAAAATTGTATAATGCATGGGTATGTTTATTTGACAACTGATTCATAGATTTTGAAAGATATTTGATGGATTATTTATGAATGTATTGATGAGGGGATTTTTATTTATTGTCTTCTTTTTTGCTTCTTTTCTAAATTTTTTTCAATCATAAGCCTATGTTACTT